TATTAATATATTAGTATATATATTAGTATATTAATATATTAGTATATATATTAGTATATTAATATATTAGTATATATATTAGTATATTAATATATTAGTATATATATTAGTATATTAATATATTAGTATATATATTAGTATATTAATATATTAGTATATATATTAGTATATTAATATATTAGTATATATATTAGTATATTAATATATTAGTATATATATTAATATATTTCCTAGTTATGGCCGACATAACACACGTTTTTGCAAATTACAATGATCGTGTTCACGTAACATTCTTCTCAAAAGCAGAATAATTACGCGTTGTAAATATTCGTTGAATTACTTGATGATAATTTGCATAGCGCATCAAAACACTGACAACGAAATATCGGTGTAATGTCGTGAACTCGTATTGGGATTGTCCGGCCAGCCGAATTTATTAGTTAGTCTCTGTAACTGACAATCAATAATAAATCAGCTATTAGAATTCCTTTCAAATTTCATCTGCGTCGCTATGATAATGCGTGACGATAAAGTCAGTAATATATTCAAATATTACATATCAAAATTCATACATTTGAACAAGTTACTAACTTACATAAAGTAGAGTACATTTCGATGTTCGCAGCAAACGATACTCTATCTACAAACACCATCGTCCACAGATGATCGGTCAGAGCAGGGCAGACCGACAAAGGAAATGACGGGACACCCAGTCTGCGACAACATGACTGACTACGTCGGCCACACTCGTCGCCTGGACCTCGCTCAGCTACTTTCCTCCGGCATCTTGAACAACACATGCTTGGAGCACGCACCGCAGCTAACGAGAGTCACCGTGTCGAAGGTGATCGTACTGGCAGTGATCGCGATCCTCAGTTTCGTGGCCAACGTGGCGACCATCTACTCGATCGTGATCAACCGGCAAAGGCAGCAGACCTGGTCGGTGATTTACACGCTGATCTTTCATCTGGCGGTCGCCGATTTGTTCGTCACGGTGTTCTGCATTGGTGGTGAAGCGTTGTGGAGTTACACCGTGGCGTGGATCTTCGGCAACCTCGCCTGTAAATTGTTCAAGTTTGTACAAGTGTTCAGTTTGTACCTGAGTACGTTCATGCTGGTGTTGATTGGGGTAGATAGATACTTCGCTGTACGGTACCCTATGAAAGAGTTGATCACTCCCGAGAGATGCTGGAAGTTCGTGGTTTTCGCGTGGATACTGTCCCTCGTACTGGCGACGCCTCAGGTAAGAAACTTTTTTTTATGAATATGCGTTTTACACGGTAGGATACGTTTCATTAATAGTGGAACGTGAGGTCGTATTAATCGCGATCTATACTGATCGATTTTAAAACGAATTTGAAAATGTGAAACATGGAGATTACGAGACATATTTTATAGGTATATATTATTTTCAAATTATTATCCAACTGACGTCAATATGTCCTTGAAATTAGACATTTCGAAATTTCATCGTGTTCGCAATAATTTCGAGATTAAATAGACAATAAATTCTCCTTCTATCTCGTTTATTGTTCGATATAAATTGTTACTTAGCTATAATGATTTTAATTATTAAACTGGATAGTTCTAGTGTCAAATCGTTCTATCAAAGTGAAATCATTAATTTGAAAATGTAATATCACAATTATAATATAATAAATAATTATATGTAATATGATGGAAATTTAGAAACAATAGATATAACGTGCAATTCTATCTATTGTTTCCAAATTTCTGAGACATCGAATAGAGTACGAATCTCGCATACGAGATCGAGTAAACTCCCGCGACGAAAATTGTCTGCTTCAGGCGAATTAAAAGTTTAATCCGTGGGACCGATCGAATGGTTGATTCGCAATTAAAAACTGATTTACAGCTACCAATGAAAGTTACACGATTGCTCGAAAAAGAGAATTAAAGGACTCTTTTCTTCTCTTTTCTCTTTGCCTCATAGATAACAAATACGTTAATTAAATAATAAAAATAAATATGTGAATGATATACTCCATTCAAAAATTGAGAGTATATTAAAATTTTCCAAATGAATAAATACTTTATTCGTGATATTATACTTTTGTCGTACTAAAACTGCAGTTTAATTGTATTTAAAAATCAATGAATAGTAGATAACAGAAAAGGAAAACTAAATGCTAAATCATACTAGTAAAGTAAAATCAAAGTAGTAAATAAAAATCAATGTATGCTAGAAAATTAATTTCTAGGTAATAGAAAATACTAGAAAATTGTCTTACTTTCTGCTAATAAGAACTACACTACTGCTTCAAAGATATTGAAAACAAATGTGTATTTTTCTCACTCTCAAGTGAAAGTAAAGTTTCATGTACAAAATTAATGAGATACGACATACTATTAAAAATAAACACACAAAAATCACGTACACAAAAAGGAATAACTGAAGTAAAAATAGTAAAAACTGAAAGTATACAAATATATATATACATATACGCTTATGAAAATGATCGATCTTCAAAGAATACATTTTGTAACCAATATCCTATTTCTTCAGACCTTTATTCTTCACATAAACAACGATAATTTAATGTTGTTCTTTTACTGATATCATTATATCTTCTAGCGCTACTGCAAAAGATATTGATGTATTAAAAGCTATAAATAATCTATAATATATATATATATATTTTTTTTTTTAATTAAAGTAAAAATTCCAGAACTAAGTAATCCAAGCTTAACTTGGTGAAATAACAAAGTGAAATTTTTAAAATGATAAGTGATCAAGTAACAAGATAAAACAAATTCTAAAATACTAAGTAAATTTAAAAAATAATAAACAAAATTTAGAATTAGATAATCAGACAGATTACTCAATAAATGAAAGATTCTCCAAAAATGCAAAGTACTAAAATAACAAAGTGAAATTTTTAAAGTAATGAACTGCAAGATAAAAAATTAAAAATTGCCCAATAACGTATCAAAACTTTCTACATAAATAATTTATATAGAAAGTTAACAAACAAATTATTAAATAACATGATAAAATTTCCAAAATACCACACCATCAAATAGTTAAATCAGTGAAATAATCCACAATACACTTACCATTGAACATTTCTAATCCGTTACCGAGGAAATACTGGACAAAGAGGTTTTCTCGCTGGCCGCGGAGTCATAAGTCTTCGACGGTTCGAACGATCTCTTACTGGAAAACTTCTCGACTGCCTGTTGCAGTGTCTCGGTCCTTTTCGTTCTATCTGAATCAGCTTTTCTTCGAATTCTTCCTAAACCACCACATCGACACTTTCTCCTCCTCCTTCTTCTTCTTCTAGCTCGTCCTCTTACTCTCCTTCTGCTTCGTCTTCGTCTTGGCTTGCATCTGCAGAATGTTCTCCGCCTACGTCTACGTCTACGCCGACTCCTTTTACATTTACAGCCCATCTTCCTTTGCCTACTGGTTCTGCGACAGGCATCCAACAGATTCACCTCCTGTTCGGCGATTTCTTGGCATTTTATGTCGCCGTTCGTTGGCAGAATGTAATGGCCACCATTCTTCTTTAGGATGCCGTATGCCACGCCGCGTTTCAAGGCGGTCAGCATCTGTAGATACGCGTTACACGTTGAATAATTGTTGAAGAGAATCCATCGTGTACCATGAATTGATCAGCTGGGGAAAATCGCTAACTTGACGACGTGCAACAGTTGGCGGAATATCGTACACCGACGAGAGATAATGTAAAATTTCTCGAGACGTCGAGCCCTTCAGCTCGCGAAGATTCTTTATTGCCGTAATGACTAGCGCTAGAACTCTTGCCGAGTCGCTCACCATGGTTCTATCGTCCTCAAACTGTAAAATAAATCAAACCGAGCCATTAAGTGAACGACTGAGGTCGCATTTAATTTTAAACTAATAATTGTATTATTATGATTACTACCATTATTATTATTATTATTATTATTATTATTATATCACATTCAGCAGATTTAAATCCTAATGCCAAGATAGTGAATGTTTAACATTTTATACTTAAAATAGATATTCTTAATTTATTGGCAATGGAACATTAAACAAATTCATTTTGTAGTATCCCCTGTAGTAATATAGTTTACAATGTCAAATTTTAGAAAAGAATGCGTACTATTTCATCAATTTCCTCACTTTCTGTCCTGTGAAGTTAATCAATTTGTTAAATGTTAACAGTTCAAATGCGTCTGATGCTGCAAAAGCGAATTTATTTTTACTTCAATAAATTCCAATTGTTGTTATATTATAATCCTTAACTTAACTCGACGATTTGAAATTACACGTAGATCTTTAATGTGGAAACATTTTTATTTAATTAATGTAGAAAAAAATCGATTAAACATTTCTAAGTTCTTTCACGTTTATTTAAACTACGATACTTGATATTTTAACTTTTACCCGAAGGTTAATACGCGATATTTCGTGAAACGCTTTTCAAATGCGATTTTATTCATAATTTGAAATGATTTATTCATAAGACATGATTTATTCACTCGTAAAAAAACGCGAAAACGCTCATTAAATTGCGAATTATTTTAAAATTCTTGTCTGTTTCTATCTTTTATTTCTGCGCGCGTCATTCGCAGATATTATTGAAGTTGGTACATAAGAAATATCGTTTATGTAGAGTTTGAATTCGTCGTCAATTCAATTTTCAATATTAAAATCAAATTCAAATTAAATACAAAAATTTCAAAAATCTTCATAAACTTTAAAGACTTACAACGATCCATTCGTAGAGATTTCAATGATTTTCTCGTAAAATACATGAATAAGCTTACAATAAAGAGTATAACAATCACTTATTACACGACAGAAATAATTAAAATCTTTTTATCCGCCTGTAGTAAAAAATACTCATTAATGCAGTTTTACAGTTTTAGAAAATTTAATATATCGACCATGTTTCTCACGTTTGTTTAAAGAAACATATAAATAAATCAAAAATACTATCTCGCGATTCTTGAATAATATTTACATAATAAGTTTAATAAATAAATAAATAATTAGCTACTGAAATACGTTCGATCTTTAAACTTCACAAGTCATTCTTTTAAATGTTTTTCTATATTGCAGCAAATGAAAAATAATCGAAACGAGAAAAAAAGCGTACCTTGGCAGCAATGACGAATTAATGAACGTTTATGTAAGCTCGGTTCATATATCGTTAATCCATGATTCTGTTGATTCTAATTCTCCAGAAAATTGAACAAATACAAGGAATTTTACAAGATGCAACAAGCCGAAATTTTCTTGTGTCACATTGCCGTAAAATAAATGGACAAATTGAACATCGACGTTTACATATAAACGATATTGTTTCGAGCACGATTGAGGCAGCTTCGTCAAAATATCGGCGAAAAACATTTTCCCCATCGAGATCATTCGAATTGCCAAGGAATATTTAAAAGCCTGAGGCTAATAAACATTTTTAGATGTCCTGCAAGCAAATAACAATTAATTCTACAAAATCTTTATTGCAAAATTTTTGCACAAGGCACTTACATGTTACACGCAAAAAATATTTGGTTGTTAACATTGCTTTATAATATAGTCTTCTTCCTTTTGTACGTACGAATTGTTTTGTCGGTTCATCGTATGATAAAACATTTATTAAACGACACAATGACGACGCGCATTTTTAGTTTTCTATACGTGATTTTTAAATATGCACATATCAAACGCGTGCACATTAGACGCTTGACACGTAAATTTGAAATTGCATATAGAAAAACAGAAGCATGCTTTGTCCAATGGAAAATTTCTAACACACACGTCGAGACATTGATGCTTATAAATTTAAACCTGTTTGTAACATATTTGACTTCGTGTCTAATTATTAAATATTCGAAATTCCTAAACAGAAGTTGAGTGACTATATATTATATAGTTAAATGATTTGTTTACGGAACTATTATTTATTAATTTGCGACAAAATAGATTATACTGAAGTCAGATAATAATAACTTTTCATTTTGTTTGGATTGATATTTGTTGTAATTTTCAGATTATTATATTCCGCGTAGCTCAAGGACCATTCATTGAAGAATTTAAGCAATGCGTGACCTACGGATTCTACACAGAATCCTGGCAGGAACAACTTTACTTGAGTCTCACTTTGTTCTTCATGTTCATTCTTCCTCTCGCTATACTCGTCGCCACCTACGTTTCCACCGTAATTACTATCTCTCGTAAGTATTTATTTTCTTCTCATTACCAAACGGCGGATTTTTATGCGAGTTCACATTTTTCTCTTTAGTTACAAAGAGTTATTAACCATTTAAAATTCTAAAAATAAATAAATAATTATTCTATTTAACTAATTATGAGTACTACATTGATTATTATTAATTATATTTAATAAATTATTAATAATATAATATTTAACTCTGTATATAATATTAAAAATGATTAATAATTGAATATTATTATACTTTATTACTAAATATCTACTCAATAATACTCTACTCTATGTTAATAAAGTCATTCTATTTCAAGTTTATTTCTGTATCTTTGCTCATTATGTATGTACATTCTGTGTATTTTAATGTCTATTTTGCTTATTTTTTTTCTATTTTATGGCTTTTGCTTATTTTTTTTCTATTTTATGTTTATTTTCCATCACAAAATATAAATACACAAAAGTTCACAGTCTATTTATGATACCTATACGGTTCGATCTAGCGAATGATACATACATATGTAATTGTAGGGAGCGAAAGGATATTTAAATTGAAGCTAACTAATAATAATATACGTCATGTGAACGGGAACATTAACCGGAGGAAATTAATGCATCGAGCAAAGGCCAAATCGTTAAAAATCAGTATCATCATTGTAGCTGCCTTTATCCTCTGGTGGACTCCGTATTATACAATGATGATCATTTTCATGTTTCTTAATCCTAGCGAACAAGTAAGTAATTTGAATACATTATTTGACAATCATTGCGAAAAGTAATTAACTAAAAATCAATTACCTCATTTTAAGATATTGTAAATATAAATGTTAGGTTATGTAATCAGTTCGTTCGTCCCACAAAGATATTATGCACATTAATCATTGCATCCATTAACTGCAATAAACAAATATACGACTAGCAACAAACATTACAGTTAATTGAAAACTGTTACAGATTTTCGTGATGCAGCAAAAATATTGAATTCATTATATCGTGTATTTTTAACGCGTATTACTAATATTGAAATATTGTTTCAATATTTGAAAAACATCTCTTCGTGAACAAAAGTTGGATTAATTTCTGAATTTAAATAAGTTCATTTATTGTAAATTCTCATTTTTCCTTAAGAATTGCGAAAAGTTGTGAAACCAAGTCTTTTCAAAGTCGTTAGCCTGAAATAATGAGCACTATTGTTGCAAATATATCCATATAATAGAAAATGAATAGATCTTACATATGTAAAAATATTCTTCGAAAATAAAAAGTGAACGAACTTAGGATCATCCCAGGAAACATATTACTAATCATGTTTTATATATGCAAGCATAAGATAATAATTATTAATGCAATAATATAAAATGCAAAGTTAAATGAAAAGTACACGCGCGGTTACACATCGCCATATTGAATAACAATAAACGATCGTGAGTGTCCCTCTATCAATCAATATGGTAATCATGTCGGTACTGAAGGGAGATGTTACTCCTCAGCATACACGAATTGAAACAAGATTTAAAAAGTCTTCGATATTTTCAGCCGAGTAAGGAATTCAAGGAGATAATCTTTTTCTTTGGCATGAGCAACAGTTTGGTAAATCCTTTAATATATGGCGCGTTTCATCTGTGGCCGCGAAGAAAACGTTTCGCTCACAGGTACATTAATAGAGTTGAACCTCGGTAAGACGAACATTTTTCTTTCACCTTCTCTTGCACTCCGCTATAATAATTCGAAATACATATAAATTTAACTTGAATTATTGTCACACGTTCAATATTTATTTGTATATCTTATCTCTGTTCAATTCGAATTCAGTCGATCTTTGTGTTTGTTACATTTTTGATTTTTATAATAAAAGAACATTTCTCTGTTGTTAATTCTTTATCAGATTCAAAAGAATTACTTTTTTATTCCACACTGTATTATAACGCAGGAAGTAATACTAAAATGATGCTAAAACGTTTTATGTCTTCTAATTTCTGAAGCGTCAACAATCTTTTAAATATAAAGATCCACATGATAAAACTTTTTAAGAGAAAGACGGAAGTTTTGGAACGACATGAAATAAATAAGTTATTTATTCAATCCATTTACAAAGAATAATATATAGAATGAAATAATACTTAAATTGTTAATTATACTCGCGACAACGATCTTCCACGCTTTTGTAAAAAACAGATGCCAACAAACTAATTACACCAATAATTACCATTAATTTTATCCACGAATATAGTATTTAACATTTTCCAATTTTCAGAGAATTATCCACGACGCAACGCAGACTCACGCCAACGAACTGCGGAAGTAACGGCAAACGAGAATCACGAGAAACGCAAACGCCATTTATACAAAAGAATAATTCAAATACTAATATTTGATTGATATTAACGAAAAAGTCGAGTACAAATCAAATCGTATTTTGTCAAAGAGTTTGAAGTTTTAACTTTGAAAGTTGACCATCGACGATAACTAAAATAACTCGAAGTCCTGTTCTCATATCTAGTCTTTACTTTTAAGAATAATTAATTATTAAGATTACGATACGTCCCATCCATCGAATGGGAAGTGTCGAGTATTTGAATGTTAATTAAGATATTCGAAAATAGTATAGTATAAAGAGTAATGTAATGTGTATCATGTGAATACTTATATAATAGCATTATACATGTGTTTGAAAGAATTCATATTGTAAATTTCTCCGTTTTATATGTAAGATATATAATATACTTATTGTTAGTTTTAAAATAAATTTATCTCTATCAAAATTACTATCTAGTAAGTACTCTACTTTGTATTTTTGCAACTTTATATTTCTCAAAAATACATAAACACTAGTTTATGTATTGCAGTCTACGAAAAAAGAAAATGTAATATAAACTTGTAAAATATATATGTACGTCTATTTATGAAAAAAGAAAATGTAATATAAATTTGTAAAATATATATGTACGTAAATTCACAACTTGAATTTCCGATACCAAGTTTACAAAGCTTCTTTTTATTTTTTGCATTTTTATAATCTATTTTTATAATGCATCTATGAAAATTGTAAATAGTTTAAGAAAACATATTTACTGTGTAACTACACAGTAAATTACACATAAATATAAAAAGCACTCTCGATTAACAATAAAAAAAATATACAATTTTCATGAATTCAAAGATTTTTTTCTAAATAAATAACTTAAAAAATAAAGAATTACATGGTAATTTGTATTATTTTCTATTTCTCGTACACATATTTTCACGCATGCTTATAAGAATTTTTCTGTCTCGCATAACTCGTGCGTATCATTAAGGAATTGGTTGTATCATTTAAGTATTAAGAAAAAATAATATTTGAAGTGTTAAAATTGTTATTATTATTTTTTATGTGGTAAATAATTTTGTTTGTGTTATCTACACTTCATTACATCATTACCAAAATATTTTTTAAAGAATGTAAAATAAAATACAATATAGGTTATGTTACAAACATTTGTAAATAATGAAGAAATTTTATAAGATGGTAAAAACGTAAAATATTATATTAAACAATTAAAATACAAACATTACTTTTCAGAAATAATAATGGTCTCGTCACCTACAAATGGAAAGAGTTTGAAGTCTTTCCAACCAAAAAAAGTACAAGACTACACATATAATAATGAATCGTTAAGTGATGATAAAATTTCTTCAGTAGTAGGAAAAAAAAAGAAGAAAACAATTAGAGCACAGAATGCTCCTGCTAATAGGAAAGTTAATGAAAAATTATCAATTAATGACAAGATTTCTCCAATAGTGGAAAAGGAGGAATCAAAAGAAAGAACAGCAATTGCAAAAGTGTTAACACAGGATGATTCTGCTAGTAAGAAAGTTGATAAAAAGTTATCAAATAAAAATAAAATTTTTAATTTTGAAACTAATCAAACAGACATAGATTTAAGAAAAGGGTACAACGAAAATGAAGAAATAAATAAAAGTCCTGATTTAAGTAAAACTCCAAGCAAAAATAACACATTAGGGAATTTAGAAAACATAGATGATATTAAAACAGAAAATATACATTTACTTGAGACTCCAAGAAAGAATGATGTATCAAGAGATTTAGAAAGCACAAACATTAAAATAGAAGATGCAGAGACTCCAATAAAATCCATTATTAATTTGGGTATTAATTCAGTGGAATGGCATGCACAAACTGAAATATCAACATCTAAAAAAAAGAAGAGACATCTGTATGATGAAAGTACACCCAAAAAAAAAATAAAAAAGGATCTTAGTAGTGATATTAATGATTATGATCAATTATCTGATATTCCAAAAAAAGAATTATGCGATAACGAATTAAATGATTTTGAACATATTGAAATGTTACATGATCCTAATTCTTTGATAAACTTTGAAGAAAATACAATTTTTTGTTCAACAAATGAAGTTGTGCCAAATGATGAGAATATAGAAATATCTAGAGACTCAAAATCTGATCCGCTTTACATTATTAACAATGATAATACTAGTATAGCTGAAAATATGGAAAATGAAGGAAAAAATGCGGGAAATAAGATTAAAAGAAAAAGAAAACATAGATCTAGTAATACTGATACAGATTCTGATGTAGATTACGATACTATAAAACATGTTTTAGGAGAACTGGAGCTTGATATATCATTAGAAGGTGAAGAAGATGAATTAACTGAAGAAGCAACAAAAGTAAATATCTGCATCAATATCTTATACTTCACATATATTAATTATTTTATCAACTTATTTAATTAACTTATTATTCTTTCAGAGATTATATAATTTGAAAGTAAAGTTAATACATAAAGTACCAATACAACATAAAATTGAACATACAACAGGTTCAAAAATATTAACAAAAAAAGAGAAAGAGCTATTCTTAAAATATGCATCACTAAAAAGTGGCGTATTTACACCCAGTGAAGATAAAATTATTATGGACAATTGGAAAAAATTTTGTGAAGTATGTTTCATTACTATCATAACATATTTCTTTTTTATTCATAATTATTCATATGCAGGTTCACGATTGGAATTCTAAATGTGTACATCCATTCATTCATATGAAATATGCTGGTAAATTTTATATAAGAAGTTTGGAAGAAAGACAAAAATTCACTCAATTTTTAGCAAATGGATTACCACGAAGGACACTGTATAGTGTTTTAAATAGATTCAAGTACTTATTTGGAGACCATGAAAAAAGTTTTCAAAGGTACCATATTAAAAATTCAAATATTATTTATATAATATCAATTATTTATGTATTTTATAGATATACATCTGCAGAAGACAAGACAATTTTATCTTACATAAACAATAAACAAAATAGGAAAAGATCACGTAGATTTTCAGAATTAAGTAAAATATTAGGACGTACAAGTCATTCAATTTGGACACGTTATCAACGGCTTAAACGGATGCATAAAAATAAAGAACGTAAGTTTTTTTTATTTAATATTGCAATTTTTATAATTTCAATAATAAAATAAATTTAATTATTTTATTGCAGGATTGCCCAAAATTACATGGTCATTATTTTTAATTGAAAAATTTATAAAAACTTTTATGAGTGTAACACTATGTGATACTATACAAGATTTAAAAGATGCTATTATTCCAAAAGTGGTTTGGCAAAGATTAGAAAAGAAAATAGGTATAAACTATAATATATTGAGGAAATTCTGGATATATAAGTTGCATATGCAATTATTTTGTCCAGAACGTATTTATTTAAATGACATAAAAATAAAATTAATTGAGTAGTAAGTTAATAACCCTTAATATAATAGACATATGACATAAATTTCGTTATCTCTTTGAATCAATTAATAATCGTCTTATATAAAATATTAAAACCATACTAAAAATTATATTGCAGCGTTTATGTAAAAGGAATTTCGAGTAATCGAGAAATAATTTGGTCAAAAGTTGCAAAATATTTTGATGGAATTACTACTGCCTTTTTATGTAGAACATTTTCTAATCTTGTTCAAGAAGCAAGTCAGAAAATAAATACGAAAAAATTTCTTGGTAAGTTTCTAAATTAAGTAAATTAATATTAAGTGCTTTGTTCCATAATTATAATTTTCATGTTGTATCTTTCAGAAATCATGGAGTATTTATACAATGAAAAAATACAAGCTATAAAAGATGACGTAACTGATAAATTTCTTCCTAGACTCTCTTACAATAACGGAAAAGTTGAAATTATAACTGAAGACTTGAACGAAGACTTGAATACCGATATAGAATATTAAGTAAAATTCTGTATTTTTAATGTAAAAAAATGTTTGTAATATACATTATTTTTTTAAAAAGACATTATAATTTATTCAATAATGATTATGCAATATTAGTACATTCAAATAATTTTTTTATACAGCTTAGAAAATCAAGATTTAAACTTTATTCTTCTTTGATTCTTTCTCTATTGCCTTTTCCTTTGCTCTCTGGTATAGAGGTACTAATTTACCTTCTTTAGCAAGCATTTTGAGCAACTCCATTATTAACGGTAAATAATTATGCTTTCTTCTAATATTTTCAATCTGATATCTTTTAGATTTTCGAATCTCTTTCTCTATCAATGTTTGTAAACGTTCCAATTCTGCAGGATCACAGACATTTGCTATTTGTCGTTCATACACTATTTTTCTATCTGTTACTATTGCCATTAAATTAAAATGTATTTCCCCTTCGTTATATCTGCAAACATAAATTGCAGTGATTGCACAGTGAAATAAATGATTATATAAATTAACTGATTTATTTACTTATTTATTCGTTTTTGTATTATTGGTTTAACTGCTTGAACCCATTGATCTCCAAGTGGACAAGGACCTAAATCCATAGGTCCATCTTTTAATCCATCTAATTCATATAATCGTCCATCAATAGGAACATAACTCACAAAATGAAATACATCATCATCTTTAGATGCTTGTTTAGAATCATATTCAAATATTGTTTGCCTGTATAAATAATGATTATTTTGTTACATATACAATTTATTTCTACTATTAATAAAATATACAATATGTGAAAAATACCTCGAGAAGGAATTGTGTACTTCTCTTATCACATCAGAGTTGCTAAGAGCAAGGCCTCTCATATTAGCATCAAAACTTTGACAAAAATTTTTAAACTCTTCCAGATTTGGTCCCAATAATATATCAGAATGTTTGCAATTCAGTAATACACTCAGAATTGCTTGTGTTGCACAAGCATTATTGATCACCTGAAAATAATTTTTTCATATTTTTATATTTTAATTTACTAATGAGTAATATTTAATAACATAGGAAATACCTGTTTAGCAAAAAATATTTTATCCAACCTATTATCTAGAACAATACTTCCAGAGGGCTCGTCGTCTTGCACCCATTTAAATAAAAAGATCAAGCCATGTATAGGCCTAAAAAATAAGAAAATTAATCTTAACGTATCATGAAAAATAGAAGAATGATTAATTTAAATTCACTTATTTTTCTCAGAAATTTACATGTGTGTGATTACAAGTTTATGAATTTCAATCTGAGATTAACTTTTGTCATTTTACTATCATTTATAATTTAAGAGGATATTAAATTACACTGCAATTCGTATTCGTTTGTATTACAAATAAATCAATAAGTTTAAATATGATGCTCTATATAGGTTATATTGTATGAGTACAATACTCACTTCAAACTATCAAATTGTTCGTCATCCAAGCTCCATAATTCTTCCACTTGAGCACCTTGAACACCTTTAATAGAGAGAAATCATAAATGCTTTGTAAATATATAATCTTAAGAGAATAGCAATTAAAAATGCAGATGTTCAAAGCAACTGTCAATACACATGGATATCTTAACGTTTAGATTTACGTGTAAGTTATTCTCGATAAAATTCAAATAATTAGGAATACAAATGTAAATAAAATCAATCAAAATTTACCAAATTCTTTTATCAACTCCGTAAAAACTCCAGGATCGCTTTCAATAAGACACCAATTGCCTGCTGAGTCCGCCATGTTTCATTTATTTATCACGCTCCAAAATACAATACTCACTTAATACTACTATACTACTGCTTTTTACAATTGGAAATATCTACACGTATCTACAAGGTGAATTACATTATGTCACAAACGAGTATTTCTCTTTATTAATATTTAATCATACATAAATCATTCTTCATTAATACTTAAATTGTTATAAAAATTAATATTAATATATATTTAAAAATAAAAAAAAATTGTATTAAATTAAAACATTTGTTATAATCCTTGTTTGATATTTCTTACAATTTGAAGAAGTAAATCAAATAATTAATAAGTATCGATAAAATTAAACAATTCAAATATTGAAACGATATGCTATTGAAATTTTATCAAATAAAAACGTTCACATTGAAATATTAAAAAGTACTTATACAAAATTATTTTTGTATTTTCAATTCTTGAATAATCTTTTATTACTTTACAAGCGGTATTGTATTATTAAATAAACGTAGGTAGGGATTGTATGTAGCATCTTAAGTGTAAAAGTTGAACTCAAATTGCAAGCACAGCCTGATTTATTAAGTGATTGGAATAATAAAACATGAAAAAGTTATATAATCCTTCCATAATCATCAATTAATATTACAACACTAAAATACAATTTACACTATGTACAAGCAATAAATTAATTGAAGTTACAAAATTTATTGACTAATTATCATTAACATTGTTCAATAATTTGCATTATTGATCAATTTTTCAAAAGAAAAGTAGTGTACATTCACTTTTATAATAAATTCGAGATAAGAGTCATGAGAGTAAAAATGGTAAAATAATATATACAATATATATTGTAGAAATAAATTAAAATACTAGTTTGAAACGAAGAAAATTTGATTATTAATGAGAGTGATAGAAGATGCTAATAAAAAAGAAAATTGTAGAAAAAAAAGTATATCGCTAAATTACATATACCAAATGTACGTACATTGGTAATACAGAATTTATTTATTTCTAATTATGAATTATTTTTATTTCTAATTATGAATTATTTTTATTTCTAATTATGAATTATTTTTATTTCTAATTATGAATTATTTTTATTTCTAATTATGAATTATTTTTATTTCTAATTATGAATTATTTTTATTTCTAATTATGAATTATTTTTATTTCTAATTATGAATTATTTTTATTTCTATGCTTCATAGATAAATTTTGTATTAAACTGTCAAATTGAATTTATTTATAAGTGATCACAAGCAGTGACAGCATTTTGCTAAAAAAAATGCTTTTGCTGAAATATCGTGATACATATAATGAAAATCGCATAAATCTATGACAAGATACTATATGCTGGTTTTTCGTTGAAGCACCTAATATTGCATTGATTTTGACATTAGTTATTATTTTCTGTTTGACATAATGACGATAGAATATCCTCATACCGCCGCATATTCGTTTCAAATGTTTCCAACTGTTTCGTAAGGTCTCCGACCTGTTCTGCGAGTGTTCGTTCTTCCATAAAAGCTTGAAGCTGCGGTGCACTTTGACATTCACGATAAAACGCCCCTAAATCGCTATTGGTGTTTGTTATTGCAAACGGAGTTTTCTATAATTGTAACATATAAAAAATTCAGTCAAACATTTCTAATATGTCGAAAAGATAGGAACGTTAATTACCAAATCTACCATAATAAAATCATCGTTGGCACTTGTCATCGAGCAACTACTCCTTCTTGATCCGTTTTGAGAGTTGCACTTCGACGTTGTGTTATCGTTCGTAAGTCTTTCACTGTTTCCATTACTGCTATCTGCGGCAATAATTGTCGATGCAGTCTTTGTACTTGTAGTCTCAGCTGCCGAGGCTGGAGGAGGTGAAGTTTGTCTAGGAGTTAGTAAAGAACTAAAAGGTACATCTGGTATAACAAAGTCCTCTTCATTAACAATAACAGGCTTATTGACTACAAATGCTCCAACTTTGATGGTATCACTAAGCGATTTTGACGTTTCCTCGCTAAAATATGAACAAGGAAATTACAGTTAATCCAAATGAAGGAAAATTAGAAAATAAGATTCAAATAATTTACCTTTGCTGATACCTAGCATGGCGAGGACTTAGGTCAGAATGAAAATGATCACTTTTCAACATTATTGAATCCCGACCTGTATGAGTTGGGGATATAGTCATTTTTGTCCTATACGATACTGACAAATGAATTGTCCCTACTGGTGTACACAACTGACCAACCCTAACGTGTTTATAATTATCACCTGCAAAACATTGCAATATTTTAAATAAACTTATAAATATTACAATTGTTTGAAGAAAGGAAATTATAATTCAATACAAAATTATGTACCTAGTGAATGTAAGTGAGGTTCTCCCATATAAATTTTATAACAAATAATAAACGAATCTGGGCCTTGCCTCCTACTCAATTTATAAGCTGGAGTAATTCTCGATACAGACAGTAACGATTTTAGTAAAATACCCATTCGATTATATATTGTATATGTTACTCTCATAGTAGGATCGCTTTGCTCTGGTAATATACCTAAACTCCATGCTTCCAAAACCATTAATTCATTGTCAACAGTTTTTAACGAGATTTCAATGCACAGAGGTATTGTAGAATTTACTATCTCTCCAATTAGTAGTCTTTTTGTTTCATTCAAAACTTCTGGAACTTCATGAACAGCAAGGTTGAACTGTGTAACAAAAGAACAAATAAAAATTGTAAAAATTATTTTATTATTACATTATAATGAATAATTGATTATTATGAATTGATTATTATGAATAATCAATCATTCATTGTAATGTAATAATAAAGTAATATTTATAACTTTTAATACAAGCATTACATATCAATGATATTAATCATGACTTACATATGGCTGTGTTACAAATCTTCTATATATGAATTCCCCTTAAATTTTTCTCCGGTACAAAAATGAATAAACACATTGCATAAATAAAATACAGATTCATTTATGAAATGACGATGAAAAAAAAAACGAATAAAAAGATATTAAGAAACAAATCTATGATATATATACACAGTTATAGTTATCATAAATAGAAGAGCTTACCCAATCTGTTCCAGATGAATATGGCTTGCACTTTGTGCTGACCTTTTCACCTGACCTCGACTGTATAATTATTTGCGCAGCCTTCAATGCCAAAAATCTAGTAAACTTGTCCAAATCCTTTTTGTCTTGCATACTCAATTTCAATGTGGACATTATAACACATTAATTAAAATTCCTCTTGAAAAAGCACAGGCGTCCAAGCGAAAACATTGAATTCCACTGAACTGACTGCAATTTTGAATGTGCGAAAGCATTTCCTTTTACCTATAAAACTACATAATAAAATCGTTTCCTACACTCGCACGTGCAAATCATGGCATTCATGACTCGTTGGCAAACGGTTTTCTCTTTGTGGGAGCACACCTACGCTGGCCGCTAGAGGTCCACCACTAGCTGATGCATTTCTCGCTAGTGGTCGTTTTGCTATCGGTCAGTGGAAATAATATCTCTGAGTTGACCTTCCTTACTTCTGTATTTAGAGGATTTACTAGGAAATCTTACTGACGCAACGATCTATCTATCAGCAGACTCTGGGACAAAAAAAAAATACTATACTTCCTTTTATTTCTTCTTCTTTCCGTTTACTCATCTATCCTTCTTTACCCACACCACAAATCATCTATATCTACTTGTTAAACTACTCTTCTTTCTATGATTCTTTACTGCGGATGTGTCCCCTAGTCATAAAATAATAATTTAATAACAGTATATACCCATCATATTATCATATTATCGTTGACACAGAACTGCATGTAGCAGGTAAAATAACGTATCAGGTTGATTCTCTTCTAGAATCTTCTAATCTATCGTTGGTCAATTACAGAGAAAAATGCAAAAATTTTATACAATTTGACCTATCAACTTTAAATATCGTTTTTCTTGAATAATTCGTGCAAGGATCCGAACATAGTTCTCTTTTTATATTGTGGGTCGATTTTGTTTCGTATCGCAATTATTATCTTAAATAGGAAGCGTTCACATGACTAACATACAGCTGACTTGGAAGTAACTTAAATTTTTTTTATATCTGCAATGAGGATAGATTAATCATAATACTCTCTTGTTAAAAGATCAAAGTTTATCAATTTCGAATTTCGAACCATATCATGTTGCGTTCAGAAAATGACTGCCAGCACTATCTTGCATCTGTAAAATAATAATAATCTATCATTATTAAAGCGTATACTTTTTTGTAAATCATAGTAAAATATTAATTAATTATTATCTATTATTGTTCTCGATCATGAATTAGCTCCTTTTTGTAATTTTCGAACAAATTATTATATAGTATTAACGTTCTATCAGCTGATTGGTTAGTATATAACAGCTGATCAAACTAGAACATCGTTTTAGAAGTATGGTACTACTTTATCTTTTTTCTTCGTTTTGTTCTAGGGAAGTTTCTCTATTCCCCTATATGTTTTAATGATTTTTACTGTAGCAAAGAAATTCAGTCATAACTAATTTTGTTTGAATCATTATACATTATTTTGTTCTTTCATCAAATGAATTATTGATTCAAATAAATTATAAATTATGACACAATTCTTATATTTATATTATATCCATGAAAACAAAATAATATTTAAAATTAATTGAAATATATTTTTACAACATTAAATATCTTTCTCACAAATATATATTTAATATCAGATATATTTCATCAGATATTAATATTTATAATAATAATAATAAAAATAATATATTAATATCAGATTAAGTAACAATTACAATTAAATTGATTATCTACATAACATCATTTACATTTTTTTGTTTATAGTTTTTTAAACTATCAATGATAGAAGTTTAATAAACAAATTTGTTCTTAACATAAATTTAGATTCATTATGAATGAAACAAAAATTATACATTATTAACTTTAAGTTATAAGTTTTCATTAAAAATCTATTATTGACACACAATAAAATAGTATATCATAATGTATATGTAAAAGACAGTCAAACAATAAAAATACAAGAAAATATTTTTTACACTATAGAAGCATGATCAGAAAATGCCAATAACTCTTTATCTTCATGATTGAAATAGATTTTAATAATTTAGTTTCTTGAATTGTAATTTTAAAATTAGAAATAAAATTATTACCTTATCCTTTTATTCTCTTGAGAGAATAAAAGAAATTACCAGTAGTTCATAATCAATTTTGAGGTATAATCTTCTAATGATATGTGAGGTCTATTTTATAACCATATTGATCTTCTATCTGCAATGTTCATATTTAGTGCTTATGTTGAAAATGCATGGTACATTTTCATAGCAATTTCATTACAGTGAAATTTTGTGACTATGTCGTGTCATGTGTACTCACATATTGAATTGCCTTTGTATAATTATAAAAAAGCTAAATATAGCATAAGGAAGGAATGAGACAAAGAATAAAAGTACATACATATATGTACATTGTATATTTTTGCACATGAAGTGAATGATGAGATAATCAAGAATTAAGACTGATATAATGGCATTGTTTATTGAGCATTATATACGACTTCTGAATGATGTAATGGCACCATGTGACTCGCCACGTGGATATTGAATACTGACATTTCAGCTGTACATTCTACTTTGTCAAAAACAATTTTGTTATAATCATAATTTTATTATTATAAATATATTTTATTATTATTTTAGAATTATGTTTAAAAGATATATTACACACCTTGTATTCTTTTATTACTATAAGATGTACTATAAGATATCTTGTTCAGAAATTCAATTTCATTTATGTGTACAAAAAAATAAGAGATATCAGATAAAAACAATCTTTTTCAATTGTAGCTATTAAAAGACATTGCATGGAATATGGTGGTAAAAAGCCTTGTAGGTATAAATTTAGAATACATGAAAATATGAAGAGTGTTAAATTTTTTAAGACTTTTTGTAGTACAAAAGTATCACTAGTCGCAACATTAAAAAGAAAAAAAGACATTGCTTTTTGTAATTTATATAATGATTAATGTAAGAGAGCTGTTACTTTTAAAGTAGACTGTACAGTTACACCACAGAGCATGCCAACTGCAATGGAAATTTCCACTGAAGCAGTCGGTTACTACCGTCTTATAGACGCTTCGTGGCTGCGTCTAAAAATCAGATTACGACGTACGTTCTAGAAAACTAAAATAAAAACTAAGATACTTTTAACCGATAATTAATTTTGATTGGTTAGATTTCTGGTTGTCCAGCTCTTCTAGTAATTTAATGTACATCCCTCGCAAGATATGATATGATAAGAGATGATAATCCCATCATTTGTTTTTTTTACAATAAATTTCTATAAATTATCATATCTTTACAATATTTGATTTTTAAAATGAACATACATTATTTAAACTACTATTTGCTTACTTAATACATACACATGTATCTTTCTGTAGTATAGAATTATTCAGACTGTTGTCCAATATAGATTTTAAATATAATTATAATATAAAGTTTTATTCATGTTATGTTTAAATGTTTAATAGTATAAAAAATGTTTAGTAGTATAAAAAATCAACACTAACTAGAAAATAAAATTCAATTAAATTATTTATATTATATACATATTATATACATAATTTCGTTGTAAATTAATTACAAACAGAACAAAAACACAGTTGTGGTGAAAAATTGAATTTATATTTAGTACAAGACGAGAATATTTTGATTGAAAATATACTAAAATGAATACATAAAAGCTACTTTATATCCAGCAACATTAATTGTATTTTTAACTCCAATATGCATTTTACGTGCAATAAAACTACAATTACAAAATGCATTGCATTTAGCGTAAAATTTTTCCATGTCAAAATGTTCATCTCACGCGAACAAAGTACAAAAGGAATGACGATATAATAAGGCCATAAAATGGCCATGGAATGAATAAAAAAACGTGCTTTCGACTTTTCTCTGACGCAGAAATATTCATCTTTGTGAGAAACACGCTAGGAATTTTAAGCTCGAAATGTCGTCGCGACATTTCAAGAATAGAACATCGTACGGCCATCTACGTTAGGAAGATCACTTACTTTTGACAAGAAATGTACCCGAGGGTTGAGAGGCCTTGCATGGCCTGGTCCCCTCCCAAGATAAGAAAGCCTAAGGGGCCTGGTTAAACGTTTGCCATAGCGTTTGCAAGACTTCCACTCCTTTGTATTAGAAATATATTCTGTTCAATCAAGTCGGAACACGCATTGATCGATTAACCATATGCGACACAATATCCTACCCTTCAGAAAAATTCGCCCTTTGCAGTTTGAAGGCTACAAGGGAGGCGCCATTAGAGGTTATGTTTCAATACAATACAAAAGGATACAAGTAAATTTTTACTTTTTTGCCGAATTATATACAGGAGAAAGTCTGCAATATTTTCTTTTAACAGAATTGCATTTTTATTTCATTTCGAGGAAAAATCACTGTATTTCTAACCTTTGAACTTTCCTGAATCGTTCTTGAAAGTAGAAAAATACTATTAATTATGTACTTCCGCATGATTAAGTAAACTATTAATATTTACATAAATTGATAAGGCTGATTAAACTGGCCAACGTTTTATCAAGTGTTGACCATTTTACTAGGGGTTGTAAAGAAATATCAAAGATTTACAAGATATTTGACAAAACATTGATAAATACGTGGTCACATTTGATATTACGTCTAATGAAATACAGTATATATAATTTGCAAGTTAAGGTAAAGAAAATGTGATTTGTTTCTTTAGCAAGCACGTAGATATCTGCAATGAGTGATCTGAAACATAACATATAAAATATGTTATTGCATTTAAAATACGCGTAGCGCAGGAATGCATATTTTAATCAATTCATTTTATCCGTATGGAAAGATATAATTGACGGATATTGCAAAATTTCCAAGTAAAAAGTTGAGTACGATACAGTTTTCAACAAAATAATTATTTAGAATTATTTATTTAAAGAAAGGTTTATTCCTTTTTTATAGTATAGTATAGTATTTCTTTTATTTTGTACCTATATTAAACGTATTAATACATATTAAACAGTGCAAGAAGAAAATTCCATTAACATGTATAATGAAATGAAATTCATAATTCCAGTCTGCATATTATTAAAATAACTATGTAAGCAATAGAATAGAAGGTCGAACATTTGTGAACATACATACATATATCCATGGTGCAAAGTTTCCAACGTATCCAACATTTATGACTGCAATATAAGCACGTGTTATATCTGCTGATATTTAAAAAAAATAACACTATAATACTAATAATAGACAACACACTTAAGATGAGACTCTTTTTCTCAGCTTCAGTAGATCTTTTCACCCGACATGTTCTACAAAACAAAGAAATAAAAAAATAAGAAGGTGGAAAGAGATATGTGTTTTACGTATAGTTAACAATATTATTTTAACATACTTATATTGCAAATATGAATATTCTCATTAATGTTATCTTATATTGCGCATATGATTAATACATTTTTATATAATTGCATATAATTATTTTCGAATAAAAATAAAATTTATTATCACAACGACGAAAGTCAGGGTTCAACTGGTTGCTGGACAGATTATTAGTATACAAATTGTTTGTTTACAAATGTTATTAATGTTAAGATATATCGGTATTTTCCACCGATAATGTCAAAATGTTCCAAATGCGCGTTATGCAATTGCAGAATTATGTAATAATTTCTCAGTCACATTATATCTCTGAATAATAAGAATTTTCGTACATTCGAGATACAAATATATATGCTTTGAATGTAAATTGTTCGAATTTTTATGGCTTATCATTTGAAGTTGTAAATGAAATAATTTGTAGATCACACAATCGCGAATTGCTTAATTCCGTCAGTTAACGAAGGATGTTGAATAGCAATTACTACTTTCTAACCAGTATCGATGGAAACTGGTTTTGTAAATATCTAACTTCCATAAAATAAAAAAATGAAATCGATCGAGTTTTATCGAATGGAATATGCTTAACAACAATTGTAAATGACTGATAACAGTTCATTTTCATTGCACATATGTGCAAGAAATACGTTATTATAAGACCGTACGTAAAACACGCAATACAAACTTTCATTAATAATATTTTCTTATCTGCAAGCAAAATAAAATAGAGCAAAAAGAAAAAAAAATCACTCTTTTAACTGTTTTACGTGGACCTTACGTAACATCTTACATGGGAGTGACATAATATATGATGAAACTCTTATAACAGCATATAGAAAAAAATTCGGAGCATAGTTCCAACCGCGATCGGGGAAACAATTCGTGCAATGCAACGTAAACAGCATCATCAACATGATAGCATACTTTCCTTCGCTGAAAACAAAGTTCAAGGCTCAAGGACGGAGCTGTTTGCACGAAAATAGTTCTCGTCCTGGCGCGATGATTTAAGAAACTCTGGCCTGGATACACACACGCGATTGATCCAAGGGATTCACGTGGGCGAAGGACCAATAGCATCCCTGTGTTACTTAAGCGAACTTTTTGCATGTGCCTACGTCATCGTCGTCCATCTATCTTATTGCGACCTATATACAGCGAGCATCGATTGCGACAGCCAGGCGCCTTGAAAATTCTCTCGAGTCCTGTGCCGATTTTCGCACGGTCTCTGCAATATCATTAAAGTGGATTGGCAAATAATCCATCGTAAACTGTGGCATCAACGGCTCGACATTCAATGTAAAAAATTATTTTTATGGTACGTACTTACATACGAAAGAGCGTGTTGAGTTATATTTAAATGAATGTACTGTTTACATAGGTTTGAACAAAATATTTGATATGTCGTGATTTGTTTGCTCATGGATATTGGTAGTGTGATCGATATGATGGACAGCCTCTGTGGTGTGATTGATGCAGTCCCTGTCATGGAAAACAGTTTCTATTATTTATACGTACATAATACAATACATGTATGTTATCTTATGTTCACTTTATGAGCACTTACTGATAGATAGTTGAATCCAATTGGAATGCAGTATCGGAAGTGAAATGCATCGAAAGCACTTCAGAATCACATTATTATCATACTGGAGAAAATAAATAAAACCTCAGATAATATAACGGTATCGATGTGGTGATTAGGAATCACGATAGCGTTTACGGTTACGAGAAGTCAATCGGCGCAATAAAATTTAGAATAAGATGCCTACGAAACTTTTGCGAAAAGTAGAAATTAAATGGAATATGGAAAGTTCCTCATCCTCCTCGATGATACGTGCACGCTGTTAAGTTTCCGCATTTAAATTCAGCAGGTTAGATGTGATAAAAACACGAACGCGTACTTTCACCAGAAAGTTAAATTTTCAATATCTTTAGAACGATATAGCAATTAGAGCGAGCGACTAATCTTCAATGATACAAGATATAGTCATTTTTTAATAAACGCGAAATAATCAAGAGGAAATAAAAAAAACAAACAAACCATAAATACTTGTTCAAAATGTAAAGAAACGCAGAGACGTTTGATGTGCATGCTACGGTGTTCTCCATGCACAACACAGAGGTCACCCATATTCTTATTCCTAAATCGAACCTAACCTATACATATTTTTATTCAAATGCATATACCACTGATAGTATCTCGACAGTTTCAGTTTGCCTCTTGTTCTGTCTCGTCGTGTCTGCGGCATGATCAACGACCGGTATGATGCACGCACACAGCAGAGTAAGCAGAAAAGAAAGAAGTCGATTGAAAAACAACGTTGGTGACGAAGGGAAGCCAAGTACGAGCCTCGCGAAATCCTACCGGAATGGCCTCATAGTGGAAAATTTTCTTCCGTGTGGAGAACACGTTGCGAAACAGAGCCAGGCGAGTTTCACGTTACCTACGATATCAGCGTCGCTAAATTCAAATCTTGAGCGCGATATCGTATTGCCGTGACGAAGCTTCGCCGCGCCACCGGCCGACGGTTTCGTATTTGATTGTGGCGCGATCTTTTACACGATGCCGCGCGAAAATATGCGCCGCGGACGCCAGTTCACGTGTTCCGTAAGCACAACAACGTATATCTCGATTAGCCCTATCGCTGCGAATTTATCGTTACGAGTTGAAACTCTTCGTTTCGTTGTCTCGAACAATAATCTTTTTTTTTTTTCAGAACAATATCGGAGCCGTTGGTACTAGAAACGATTCTAATCGTCAAACTTTTGCTCAGTATCCCTTGTTCGAACGTTTCGAACGAAATGTTAGCGAAGAAACGTAGGTAAATGTTAGAAAAGGAACGGTAACTATAATTTGAGGTTATATAAATCACGAATTGATGTTATTAATGTAACTTGTTATTCTAGGATGTTTTAATCTCGATAACCAATTCCGTGGGATATACTGATCTCTGCAATAGCGAAATAGTTGGTCAATATGAAAATAACGCCATTACTTTGGTTTAATCAATGCTTGAACAATGATAGTAAGGCGTCGTCTTCTGATACAAATAACATCTATACATTCGAAATAAGTTATGTACATGTGCTTGACATGAAAAATTAATTTTAATTTAATTCTATTTATCATTATTATTGTTGTTTTATTTAATTCCATTTATTTTATTCTAATTATTACTATTATTTAACTGAATTTTAATTATTGAGATATTAATAATAACATTTCGTAGGATTTAATACCTGTTGTATGTTGTTCACTTTGTGTTCGTAAACTTAATTCTCGCTTTTTGACACGAGAGAACAAGGAACCACATTAAGAGCTTCTACCTTGCATCAAGAGTATGAAATTTTGTATGCGACAAACATCATAAACCGTGTTAATGTTTTGCAATTTTAAGACGGACCGTCGTTCGGCCACATGTATAAATAATGCGCAATTGTCACGCACAAAAGGAAGGTAACGTCAATCGCTTGAAGGTTTTGCATATGAAGGGACGTGTTGCCACATAAAAGAATCGCATCTTTCGTTTTAATACGATCAGAATGCGTAACACGTATCAACTTTTTACCCAGCTTCTCGAGGAGAAGAAAATTTTACTGCGAAACATCTCGTTGAGAAACACAAGCATGCCAACTGTCCCTAAGTATCTTTAGCATTGGCGATTCATTTCTAATTCAAATTCAACCTTTCGTCATTCTGTGACCTATGAAAACGTGATTCGAGACAGAGTGAAGTCGTCGCGCGTACAAGCTGTTGAAATTTTCGTTCAACGAATTGGAATCAATTCTAACGGACGGAAGTGTTTCGTGGTATTGCAGATAAAAGTCACAGAGTTACAGCAACGCTGTTATCTTTCGAATCTCTGTTTCCATTTCAGCCGGACCTTCCTTTCCCCCGTTATCACCAACGAAGGATATTTTGTTTTATCTTCTCTTGGAAACTTACATATAATCCTTATCTTGTGCGGAGACCTTTGTTTCTCGTCGAAATATATGTAATCTCTAACTGACTAAATCTTTTTAAAAGTGTGCGTGTGTGTGTGTGAATAGTTATATTGGATGCATTTGCTGACTAATTGTTGAAGAATTGCAATTCAGTTGTACGTTTATTTTTTAAAATGTTTTAGGATTTGAGTTTCAAAAATTATTATATTATGTTATTCGTAAATATATTGCATGCAAAAAGAGTAAAAAATGTAGATTAGGAATTGGGTAAAAAGTGAACTAATTAGTTAAATATAATACTGGAAAGTTAACAACCTTTTGTAAGTAAAAAAACGTACAAATCAAGTATCGAAAACCTTTTTTTTAGAAGTGATCAAAAATGTAATTTTTACATTAGTTATACTCACAGTATACCTGAATTTTCCAGAAAACGCATAAACGATCCTGGTCTCTAATCTTCGTTTGCAGATTTCACCGCAACGTAATAAGAAAAAAAAAAAAAGAAGGAAGAGAAGAGAAAAGAAATTAATTAACGCCGGCGATTTATGTGCTGCTATCACCGTTTAAAAATATCGCTCGCTGTTAATAATATACGCCGATAATGGCCTGACAAATCGACAACGGTTCCTATAATTGATAGAGGCGAAAGAAACGTTTGCGGTAATTCGTTCGAAACGAGGAGTCAACGATACCGTTAACCTCGATCCTGGATCGGCTCGATAGATCGATACCGATTTACGACAATTCGACGAATCGGCAATAATAACGACGGGTTCTTTCTAATCGTGGACTTGAACCATGCTCGCCGTATTTATTATTAGACGACAGAAAGAAACGCGTGTGTACTATACGTATGAAAAAAAAAAAAAAAAAAAAGAAAAAAAGAAACAAACAAACGATTGCGCGAATGATTAACCGCGAAGGCCTCGTCGAGGCGTTTCGATTCGAACGAGAATAATTAAAGGACGCGTTGGCCAACTGGTTTCTCGATCTTAATTGTTTATTTGATAAACGCCGTTTCTCTACGATTCCATCGCGAGGAAAGAAAAAAAAAAAAAAAAAAACGGAGATTTAAGTATCGTGCGAGAATAGGAATCGACTTACAGAGCCCCGCATGATTTTCTGCCGACTTTGTTCGTGTTCATAAATCTACACATTTATAGAGAAGCTAGTCAGGTTTCTTTTTTTTAAATTCAAATACTATTACCAAAAACAATGTACAGAATGTTAACACACACGTGTCATTGTGACAGATGTTAATGCACGTAGCTTTTTTTTTTCTTTTACTGAAATCAAATACGCTCCAATGTTTCTTCGTCACCTTTTAATCCGTATTTCATTAAGAACAGAATTGTACCTCGCTCGTTGTGGCACACGTTCGTCGATATCGTTGAACAAAAGCTGCTTACCACGCGTAAAACGATATCGCGCGCATTCCAAGAAGATACAGAGCACGCCGACGTTCGCTTGAAGCGCAAATGGAAAAGAAGAAAAAAAAAAAGAAGAAGGAGAAGAAAAGAAAATGATCAAGACGCGTCACTTCAATCGACGGCAAGGTGTCAACGATGTTATTAACCCTGAAAAGAATTGGAATGGGCTCGAAATAAATAACGATGAGGTCATAAAATTGGCTAATCTTGATTGCTGACGTGCGCGGTTATTGTCGGTGATGTCAATGAAATGAGAAGCGCGAAATATGCGAAATTACACGAAGAAATTAAAGAAAACACTCAACTACAATGAAAAAAAGGAACAAAGAAACGTTGATCTTCGTATTTTATCCTCGTGGCGCGAGAATTTCAATGAGAAACCATTCGATGTTTGAGGAGCGAGCTTTTAAATTAATCGGAGAATTCCAGTCGTGGGCAGAACTCCAAACGTGCAACAACATGTCCGTTTAGGTCAAATTCATTGTTTATACGTCGAGTCACGCAGTTGGGACAGATAGAAGCAAAAGATGAATCTAACGTACGATAATGTCTATTTGTTCTATGATAAGCGCAACGATAAGCCAACTTATTTTCATTCAATGGAAATTTTTATGAAATTTAAGGGAACTGAGATTATCACAAACTGTTGCAATCGAACGTAAAACACGTATTTCCAATTGATGTTTGCTCAAGGTACGAATAGATCAGACATTAATTATGATAACGGTGCTATTATTTTCCTTGTTGTGCGTTATCGAAAATTTCTCCTTCACATGCACGCGCATACGTCACGTTAAACTTGCTTATCACTGGCGAAATCTGATAACACGGCGAACAGGTAAGTAATCAGATATTTTCATTTCAAAATCGTCGAACGAGAAACTGTTATTTTTAGTTTCCACAGATATTTATCGCTTCCGAATATTTCTGTTTCAGAACGTTGTTCGTGGGAAGCCATGAATGGACGCGTATGTTCCGCAATTCTTCCGGAATTCAGATCGCAGCCAAGAAAACAGTTTCCGAGGACGAAACGAATTATAGTCACTCGAGAATTTCAGAATCAATAGTCCGTAGACTCTCAAACTGTTTCGCTCCTTTTTGCTACGGACAATTTGCCACGAGAAATAATTTCGATGGCTTGAGTCATTGAATTATAAAAAGAAGTATATGTTTGCAAATTTTGCTACCGAGTTACTAGTTACTCTTTTTTTTTTTTTTTATTAATACTTTTATAATTTCGATGTGCATGAAATGTTGTAGATACAGAGGGTGTCTTCTATAATTATCTATAAGCAAAGGCCGAGTAGCTTCGATCATATCCGTGGCGAATTTCTTCATGAATTTCCAGGATCCCTACAGAAAATCACAGTCATTCGTCTTTCCAGTTTGAAACGAAACGTAGTTCCATTTTATAAAATGTTCCACGTGAATTCACAGTGGCGACCTTGAACAAACGAGGCAAACGTATGTACGTATGTACATACCTGGCAGAATTTCATTTAAAATGTCGCGTACGTGTGTGTGTGTGTGTGTGTGTGCAGTCTGAAACAATGACGCGAATCGACTCACGTTATCCTTTGGTTCGATTCCAGATCCGGTAGCCGGCTACTTTCCGCTCCAGATCGATTTCACGCTACTTTATCAATCTCTCCCTCTCATCGACGGCTGCCGATCGATTACGACGCGGCGCACACGAGAAATTCCTAGGACGCTGGACGCGCGATCTGCCGGCATCAATATCGTTAACCTTGATCCTACATAGCTGGACCGATGCAACACCGATTATAACTATATCTGATAGGCGGATAATGACGCAGAAACGCGTCCGACGTAAATGGATTTGGCATGTGCGATAGATGTGGCGAATGGTTTTCACTGGCGCGAAAAAAGGAGAGACGGGTGAAAGAAAAGGAGGGAAAAGAGGTAAAAACGAGCGTCACGCTCCATCACAGCTGTAGGAGGGTGAAACATAGTTATGAGAGGGGAGAATCGTTTGGTTGTGTAGTTGATGAGAAGGGAGAGAGAAGAATGCATAAGAAGAAGAAGAATGAGAGAGGTGGAGAACGATGGAAGTGGTGGTAAAGACGCCGGGCGGCTCTGCCGTTGATGGTGGTGGTTGGCGTTCTCGGTAGAGGTGGCGAACATCGTCCAAGAACCCACAGAAGTGAACGTTGACCGTGATCAGTAGGGTGCAGTGGGGGTTCGAGGTTGTGTGGTGAACGACATGGTGGGGATAAAGCATAGTTACCGAGAGGAGCTTAGCCGTTAGGTCGTTGAGTGGTCGTGGCTATGCGTGCGTGTGTGCACGCGTGTGCATGCACGATCGTCGGCTATGTGTGTATCCTGTAGGAGGAAAGGGACGAAGGAGGTACCGTCCGCGGCGAAGAGTGGGAGAAAGAGGCGACGGAACCGCGCGCTCCGCGGCCTCCCACGACGCGGATCATTCCTAGCCGAGTCTTTTCGACGCTCGCGACGCTTCTCCGAACGCCCTAGAAACCGATCCTTTTTTTTTCGTCTTCATGAACGTCTGCCCGGAAACGACACGGTCCTCTACGTCGTGACGACAGCCGTGCGCTGTGTCGATCTTCATTTGATTTCACATTCAAAACGTTGCCGCGCGGCATTAATTTTAATTTTCTTCGCTACGCGCGTACGTAATTCCTCGCCCATCCCCTCTAAGCTTCGCCTATTTAACACGCCTGTCTCCCACCCTTGGGAATCCCTTTAACCTAGTCACATCCCTCGAGAGCAACCGAGAGAGATAGAAAGAGAGACACGAGGCGAGGAGAAAGCGTAGAAGAAAGTCTGCGAGGAAAGGAGGAGGATCAGTGCAAGCACGACCGTTCACGGGATCGATTCGTAATTGTTTGAAAGTAAAGAGAAAAAAAAAAAAGGAAAAAAGGAAAAAGAAACGGTTCGTTGATTCCCGCCTGAAAGGAAGGCTGTGCAGTACCACGCGGTTCTCCTAGGATATATATATATATATATATTTATATACCGACACGCGCATCCGCCGTTTGTGTATGTGCCAATCTCTGCCCGCGTGTTGGAGTATCACCTCGGTTCAGGCCTTCCAGAAGTGAATCCAACGATTCGGAGCAGACAGCCGGGAGGACCAGCCAGCCAGCCAGCCAGCCGGCTCCGATCGACCGAGATAGTACACACTAGCTTCTCGTCTAGAGTGCGAGAATAAACGCGTAGCGGCTCTACGCGCAGAGGCTGTTCGCTTTTTTTTTTTTTTTGAAAACGCGCGAGATCGATTGAGTTTTGAAACGAGGATGTCGCACAAGATACTGAGCCAAGGAGCACCGGTTCACGGGGGCAACTCACAGGTCAGTTATTTCCATTGTTTTCTTCACTGTTATTCCGTGTTTCCGAGTTTTAATGTCAGTGTGAGTCAAGTCGCTTGAGATTGTTTGGGATGGGAATAAGAGCGACGAACTACTGAACCGTTCTTTCGTTTATATATTTTTTTTTTCTTTTTATTTTTTTACGTTCGATCTCTCGATAAGTCAGCTTTCTAATCATTCGCCTGTCTAACTGGAAAATAACGCGATTCTGTCTCGCGCGGCTGTTGCGCAATAAACGCAACGATCGAAAATTTTTCGCGGCGGAACGCTGACGAAACAGGTTTATTGGCGGATTAACGGTCGCGCCGCGTTTTCGAATAGAAATTAATTAAATTTCAACGGAAGTGTGCTCGACCGCGGCGCGCGTATAAATAAGTGTGAGACATCGGCGAGAGAAATCAGAATCAGCGTGACCGAAATAGAAGCGCCGATTTGCATACAAAAATTCGTGTGTATCTTTCACGATCTGCGAAACTATTGTCAGAATTGGCTGGATTCGCTGCACAGTCAGAAATGCAAACTGAACCGATCTACGCGCGTGGATGCAATTTTGCAATCGCGGTTTCGAAATTACGTGCAGCCAGGTTGATTTGAGATAACGATGTTAATATTTCTGAAAGTAGCGCGTTTAGTTTCTCTTATTTGCAGTTGTTTATGCATGAGAAAAATGTTTCTTTAGGTTCTGTTTTTCTAAATATTTAATTTTAGGTTCTATTTTTCTAAATATTTAATATATTATATATATATATATAATATGTTTTTCTAAATATTTAATTTTAATATATTATATTTATTATATATACAAAATATATTTTTCTAAATATTTAATTTTAATATATTATATTTATTATATATATAATATATTTTTCTAAATATTTAATTTTAATATATTATATTATATTATATTTATTATATATATATAATATATTTTTCTAAGTATTTAATTTCAATATATTATATTTATTATATATATAATATATTTTTCTAAATATTTAATTTTAATATATTATATTATATTATATTATATTTATTATATATACAGAATATATATAATAATTATATTTTTCTAAATATTTAATTGCCTTTTCATACGACCAAGTATTTGTTAAACAATGTATTTTATGTTGTTCCAACATAATTATTTCATTTCAAAGAGATTATATACATTATATTTTTTATATATTATATTTTTCTAAATATTTAATTGCCTTTTCACACGACCAACTATTTATTAAACAATGTATTTTTATATTGTTCCAACATAATTATTTTATTTTAATATTATGGCCGAATTTAGAAACTTTAACTTAGGGCCCGATATAGCGAAAATTCTCAGCATTCATATAAGAAAATGTCAGAATTAATATGTAAATTTAAATTATTGGTAAATACGAGCGTCAAGAATGTTATAAACATCAAAAAATGTCTCAATTACAGCAAGAATATCCACTGATTTCGTTAACATTCGCAAAGAAAGTGTAAAGTCTCGTCTCGTAGAGCTCAACTCGAATTATAGCAAGAAATCTGCAGACTGATCGCAAAAAAAAAAAAAAAAAAAATATCGCGAGTTTCCGAGTAGATGATTTTCACATCCGACGAAGTTCTGACGTGGGTGGGGTGGAAATTTACATACGCGAATACGTGGAAACCTTCTCCCTCCCCCTCTGCATCGTGGTTCATCCATTTTTCCCTTTTTAATCGCACGTTGATGGCTCACGTATTGTCGTGCGAAGCGTTGACTCAGCAATCAGTCATTTCAACCCGACACAAGTGCCACGTGGAATTGATAAAAAGAGGTCGCCGCGACGAAGTCACGGACGAAAAAGTGCGTTTTTTTTTTTTTTTTTTTTTTTTTTTTGACGCTATCTGCACGCCTTGTTACCTCTTCCACTCGCTCGTTCTCCTTTGCTTATTCATGCCTTCCGTTGCTCCGTTACGCGCTTCGTAGACTCGGCGGGTACTTTCCATTGTTACTCAATCGTGAAATCATCGTACGTAACTGGCGACTCTGTTGGATGCAGTTTATTAGAACTGCATTAGATGATGTTTCCGCTCCGCGGAAATTAAATGGGCCGTTCGTATATTGGTTTCGAGGACAATTGGCGAACGATTGTTTCTTTCTCTTTTTTTTTTTGCGCAGCTCGCCGAGTTGGCATTGATTGAAATTCTAGGCGATGCAGTCGGGACGAAAAAAAAAAAATGAAGCAATATTTGCTGGGTCAAGTGACGATCGTAGGAAATTCGTTCGTTATTGATTAGACGTGGAATTGAATTTTTCTTATTCGTTTGTTCATGAATCTCGTGAGGACGCGATTCTGATGATGCGCGATCAACTGTGTTTCCCTTATGAAACTGTCGAGTTTCACAATTCACCGCGTTAAACGGGAAATAAATGTTACGAAACGTGCTTACATACGGATCGATCAGAATTTTTCTCTGCGCCGGTTGAAACCGATAAGAAAGTTTAAATCAGTTGCGATAAAATTATCGTTTATTTGCTATCTCCTTCCTTCGTGATATCGTATCGTCGTTGATTGCGTCAGAAGCGGCGGGTGTTTAACAACCGCGGTGGTATTCAAACGTTTGTAGCACAATGATACCGATTCTTTCTTTCTTTTTTTTTTTTTTCTTCGAGAGAGAGAGAGAGAGAGTGGCTTATCACACGTAGGGAACACAGATGCAACGTTTAATCAAACATTTTACAGGATGCTGCCCTTTTGCACCTAACGACGTAAATTGTAAATTCTCTCCTTGCATCGCGTACCACCTATGAAATATAATCATTTATTACGGAAATTAAAGACACGTGTGTTATTCTTCGAACGATTTTTTTGTCGTGGATAACACTAACAAAGTCTCGTGTACTTTACGTTGTAACTCACACATTGAGTCACTGATAGAATTAAGAGTATTTCAATTAAATGGAATTATTATAATATAATATATTTATATATTAATAATAATATATTATTATTATATATTATTGCTATATAATATAATTTATATATTAATAATATAATATATTAATAATAATAATAATATATTTATATATTAATAATAATATATTATTATTATATATTATTGCTATATAATATAATATATTTATATATTAATAATAATATATTATTATTATATATTATTGCTATATAATATAATATATAATATATTATAATATATTATTATTTCAATTAAATTAAATTATCATGTTACTTTGCAATCTGGTAATATAAATGTCGTTAAAAGCATCTCTCGTCGCAGAGTAAGAATATTTTTAATATTTGAGGGATGTTCGACATCCAAGTTGCTCAAGTAAAATTTTTTTTTACAATACGTAATCTATATATTTACGATTGTTGTATTTATGTTATAAATACGTGATCTATATTTACGATGATGCACACTGTTCATAATATGCTCTGAGACGTGTATCATACGAACTTAAATAATTTGGAGTTATTAATAGTTTCACAATATCTCTACTATGTTCACTTTGTCCGTTGTAGAATGTCGTGAAATTAGTCACTGGAATGCCTTTGAATTCAGCGAAATCTGCGAAATCTAGCAAATATTTATCTTGATCTCGAGGTGCCATGTTTGCTGCCCGTTTTTACTCTGTAGATTGCGTTGCATTCGTAATAATGTTCGAAGCTCTGCGTTCTCTTGGCTCTTTCAGGGAAAGCGAGACACTCGATTATTATCCAGAATATTTATTTTTATTTTTACGAGCACAATTAGAAGAACGAGCGGAGACATACTGCTATATGTTAGAATGAAGATTCTGTATTTTGGATATTGCGCCATTTTCTAAAAAAAAGAGAAATAGTAAAACTCTTAATAGTAATTACACACGCGTAATTTTGTACTTTGTGATTCGACGAATTTTCACTCGGAATTTCAAAATATTTGTCTAGAGTCAAAGCAATAATTCGGTAAACGCTGTTAAACTGCGTTCTCTGTTTGTTTATTGAATCGTCGCTCTCAGTTTTTAGTAGCTCCAGGTATTCGCAAAAAGCTTTGAACCTATCTCATGAACATACGCGTTTAATTCTAATAAAATCAAAGAAGGAATAATCTCAATAATCTGGATACGTATTTAGAAATATATATAAGTACACACGTTACATATACAGGGTGTTTTCGAGAGCTGATTGTACGTCTAAAAATAATGAAAAAAAGTCATATAAATGTATGTCCTATCTGTCTTCGTTTATGAGACATAATGAATTTTATAATAATAAACATATACAGAGTGTTTCGTAATTTGTGGGACTTCGGGAGCTGATTGTACGCCTAAAAATAATGAAAAAAAGTCATATAAATATATCATGAATTTTATAAACAGAGCAAACTCTAGTAAGCTAGTTTCACCAGGGATGGTACATTCAATTTTCATAATAATCATCATAATTGGGACGAAGAAAACCCACATGTTATTGTGCATTCAAGACATCGACGCCAGTTTAGTTGAAACGTATGGGCAGGAATAATTGATAAATTTTTAATTTGACCTTTTTTTTCTTGATGGGAAACTAACAGGCACAAAGTACGTTGATTTTTTTCAGCACGCGTTTACACGAAATATTAGAGAAAGTTCTAGTCGATATTAGACTTCGATACGCGGTTTATGCATGATGGAGCTCCGCCGCATTTTAGCCGAGTGGCTAGGCAATTTTTAAATCAACGCTTTGCAAATAAATGGATTGGTCGTGGAGGTCCTATTGCATGGCCTGCTCGTTCTCCAGATTTGAATCCATTAGATTTTCATTTGTGGGGACATTTAAAATCTATTGTATACGCAACGTCGATTGAACATGCTGAAATACTACGAAATAGAATAGAGCGAGGCTTCCGACAAATTCGAGAAACCACCAGGAACGATAGAGAGAGTAACCAGATGAATGACAAGACGCGTGCAGGCTTGTCTTCAAATGCAAGGTGGTCATTTTTCCAGCATCTTTTGCAAAAGTAATTAAAACAGAGAG